AGGCTGAGGCTTGAGGCTGAGGCAGGCTGAGGCTGAGGCTGAGGCTGAGGCAGGCTGATGCTGAGGCAGGCTGAGGCTGAGGCTGAGGCTGAGGCTGAGGCTGAGGCTGATGCAGGCTGAGGCTGTGGCAGGCTGAGGCTGAGGCCGAGGCTGAAGGCAGACTGAGGCCGAGGCTGATGCAGGCTGAGGCTGAGGCTGAGGCAGGCTGAGGCTGAGGCTGAGGCAGGCTGAGGCTGAGGCAGGCTGAGGCTGAGGCTGAGGCAGGCTGAGGCTGAGGCTGTGACTGCGACTGCCGTTGCCACTGCGACTGTCATCGCGAATGCGACTACGACTGCGAGAACAGCAGAATTTTACAGCTCGATTCTCATCTGAATCTTCAGGGGAATGCTCCCAGATATGCTCCTACACATCGCTGTTAGGTTGCCTTGCCGGGATACTTTTTATCTGTGTGTATTTGTTTGTGTGTCCTGGGCCTCCTTGAATGATTGCCCCCCCCCTCATCTTGGACGCCCCCGTCCTGGGCGCCCCCGAGGGAGGCGGCAGGCCTCCTCGACAGGCGGCGGTGCTCTTCAGAGGCCCCGGCGGCCTCCCGAGGAGTCTCCTCGTGGGCCCTTGGAGATGGCCACTGCTCGGAGGGCGCCGAGAGTGAGGATGTCTCATAGGAACGCCATCCAGGCGCGAGAGCTCCAGGGAGACGGAATGCCCGGCAGGGCTCTCCAGGAGGGCCGGGTGCTCGCTCTGTCCGCGGGGCGTGCGGCGAGCGGCTCCAGGGCCCTGAACGGCAGCGGTCAGGAGAAGTGCAGCGCAAGGCAGCACGAGAAGGGAGACACGGAGAAACGAGGCGAGAAGGGAAGGATGGACAAGACGACTAAAAGAGGGATGAAGTCGCTTCACAGAGAAGGCCTGCCCCCCCCGGCTCGCCGCCGAGTCTGGCTCCGGGGGCCTTGCGACGGGGGTCCATGCAAACCGAGGTCAGCCAAAGCGCCGTATTTTGCAGGATCCTGCAGAGCCAGAGTTGCATGGACCTGGGCGAGCGCGCATGACACTGTAGGATCTGCAGGATTTTGCAGGACTTTGCAAAGCCCGACTGACCTGGGTTTGCATTGACCAGGGTCATTGGTGCTTTTGACTCTCCGAGGCGGGGTTTCGTCCATAACCACCGCCTGGGGGATCAATCTTCGCGGCTCTGCACAGGCGGTGGATATGGACATATTCGGGCCCCTCGGCGCCCGCCGATCACCCAGCGCGTTCCACTACTCGCAAAGTGCCTACTCGCAAACGTTCGACAAACACGTGCCTCCCTCGACGTGGTGGATCGTGAACCCCCCGCGTCGGATCCAGGCCACTTGCGAGCAGCTACCTCTGTGAGCAGTGGAATGCGCCTGCCTAGCCGAGCAGATCCCCGACGGCTCCCCGACGCCCGCCGAGTGTGCCATGGCGGTGGCCGCGCCGCTCCGGGCGCTGTTGCGCGGCCGCGCCGCCCCCGTGGCGCAGGAGGCCCTGCGGCCCGGCGCCTGCACCGCCGCGCGGCGCCTGCCGCCCTTGGGCCGCTCCGGAGCGCCCGCCCGAGGCCCACCCGGGAGCCCAATCCTCCTCCTCCTCCTCTTTCTCCTCCTCCTCCTCCTCCTCCTCCTCCTCCTCCTCCTTCCTCCTCCTCCCTCCTCCTCCTCCCCCCTCCCTCCTCCTTCTCTCCTGCTTTCCTCCTCCTCCTCTTTCTCCTCCTCCTCCTCCTCCTCCTCCTCCTCCTCCTCCTCTCCTCCTCCATCCGGAGATCGGTCCCGTCTCGCCATACGATTCGGAAGCGGCGGGGCGGCGAAGAGCGCGGCAAGATCCAGGCAGGCTTAGGACGAGGACGAGCCATATCACCCCCGAGGGTGCGGCGACGACCACGCTTCGCGCGTCGCGGCCTGGGCGGGAGAGTCGTCCTCCTCCACTGTGCCCTCGTGCGGGCGCGAAAGCCCCCCCCCAGCCCCTGAGCCACTCCCCCCCTGACGCGGCCCCTCGTTCCCCTTCTCCTTCTCCTCCTGCTCCTCCTGCTCCTCCTCCTCTCCTCCCTCGTCGTCCTCCTCCTCCTCCTCCTTCTCCTCCCTCCTCCTCCTCCTCCTCCTCCTCCTCCTCCTCATCCTCCTCTTCCTCCTGACTCGGCCCAGAGTCAGTATAATGTAGCCGGAGAGTACGGCTCTCTCACTCTAGCTCGTGCCAATCAGTTGACGATGCGAGCTTTCAATATCTGTCACAAATTTCGTGCAAAGCTTCAGCAAGCTCCACACCTAGAAGGCAGCTATAATGCTACCATGCGTATCCGTCACGCCGCGCTCGTCGCGACCGACGGCCAGGCCAGTGCTCGAGCTCGTGCTTTTGGGCCTGGCGCTGTCATTCCCCAATCTTGATTGTAGTCTAACCCGTCCCCCCCCTCTCTGGTGACGTGCACTCCTCCTCCTCCTCCTCCTCCTTCTCCTCCTTCTCCTGCCGACGACGACGATACCGACGGCGGCGGCGGCGTCGGCGGCGGTGGCGACGGCGGCGGCGGCGACCACGGCGACGGCGGCGACGTCCGCCGAGAGGCCGCATGCGGGAACGCGACGGCCGCGGCGATGCACCGTTGATACGGTCGGACCGAGGTAGAAGGTCGAGGTCGGTTCGGGGAGGGTACCCTGGTGTTCTTCGTGCTTGTTGGATGTTCTTGTGCACCCTGGGGAGGGCACCCTTGGATGTTCTGTTTGTTTTGGCCGTGGCGGAAGGTCTCATTTTCCTGAGGGGTGCTCTCTTGGCCCAGGCCCGGCTGTATGGGACGTGGCCTTTTGTTTGACTGCTGGCGTGTGCCCAGACCTTTTTTTTTTTTTTGTTCATTTCGCGCGCCCCGCCCAGCTCTGAACCGGAAGAGGCCCGCTCTCGACCCGCCGACCAAAAAGTGCCCAGACCTTTCCGCTCCCCGCGGAGGTGGCTCCAGACTCCCCCGGCGGCACTTCTGCGCCGGCCCGGGCGGGGTGGCCGCGCCCGCGGCGCCCGTGCCCGAGCTGGTTGCGCTGCTGCGGGAGCTGCGCGCGGCCGCAGGGGCGGCGGGCGCGAAGGACGCTGCCCACCCGTTCGCCGCTCGCCTCCGTGCCTTTTTCCTCCTCTCCAGGAGGAGGAGGAGGAGGAGGAGGAGGAGGAGGAGGAGGAGGAGGAGGAGGAGGAGGAGGAGGAGGAGGAGGAGGAGGAGGAGGAGGAGGAGGAGGAGGAGGAGGAGGAGGAGGAGGAGGAGGAGGAGGAGGGGAGGAGGAGGAGGAGGAGGAGGGGAGGAGGAGAGGAGGAGGAGGAGGAGGAGGAGGAGGAGGAGGAGGAGGAGGAGGAGGAGGAGGAGGAGGAGGAGGAGGAGGAGGGAGGAGGAGGAGGAAGAGAGGAGGAGAGGAGGAGGAGGAGGAGGAGGAGGAGGAGGAGGAGGAGGAGGAGGAGGAGGAGGAGGAGGAGGAGGAGGAGGGGAGGGAGGAGGAGGAGGAGGAGGGGAGGAGGAGGAGGAGGAGGAGGAGGAGGAGGCGGAGGAGGAGAGAGGAGGAGGAGGAGGAGGAGGAGGAGGAGGAGGAGGAGGGAGAGGAGGAGGAGGAGGAGGAGGAGGAGGAGGTGGAGGAGGAAGGAGGAGGAGGATGAGGAGGAGGAGGAGGAGGAGGAGGAGGAGGAGGAGGAGGAGGAGGGGGAGGAGGAGGAGGAGATGAGGAGGAGGAGGGAGTTGTAGGAGGAGGAGGGGAGGAGGAGTTGAGGAGGAGGATCAGGAGAGGAGGCGGAGGAGGAGGAGGAGGAGGAGGAGGAGGAGGAGGATGAGGATGAGGGGGAGGATGGAGGAGGAGGAGGAGGAGGAGGAGGAGGAGGAGGAGGAGGAGGTGGGGCGACGAAATCTATACATATCCGCTTCTCCCTGGCCAGGTCCATCCTGGAGGCCCTGGAGCTGGGCACACGCCGTCCTGGCCAAGCCAGGGGCGCGTGTCGCATTAGAACCGCTGCTGGGTCCGGGATGGGCCTGACCAGGGAGCAGCGGACATGAGTAGATTCCGTCGCCCCACCTCCTCCTCCTCCTCCTCCTCCTCCTCCCCTTCCTCTTCCCATTCCCCCTCCTCCTTCTCCTCCTTCCCCTCCTCCTCCTCCTCCTCCTCCTCCTCGACCGATCGTCGGTAGTGCTGCCCGCGCTCGCCCACGACCTCCTTCAAGCATCTTCAAGCTTCGCCCACGACCTCTCCTAGTGTCCACCGTGTATAGCTTCTTCAAGCATCTGGCCTGAATGAGCAAAGCGCGCGTCTCTTCTCCGTCGCAGAGGCAAGCTTTGCATGATGCGCCCTGGCCTCGTCTTGCTGTCGCCACTCCCTCCTCCACTGTTTCCCTCCCCCGTTCCTCCTCCTTCTCCTCCTCCTCCTCCTCCTCAGGGCGAGTTGGTGCGTTTGCGTTGGTTACCGCGTGAGGCTATCACATGAGCCAGCTCGCACGTTCTGCTGGATTCCACATGGACATGACATTAACCAAAGTACCCCAGTGCGACCCTACCTAGAAATTGGAGCCCCTAGGATAACAGCATTAGTTGCTATGCTATGCTATGCTATGCTATGCCATGCTATGCCATGCTATGCTGCGCCATGCTATGTGATGATATGCTATAACATGCTGCGCTATGCTATGCTGTGCTATGCTATGCTATGCCATGCTAAGCAATGCTATGCCATGCTGTGCTGTGCTATGCCAAGTTATGCTATGCTATATCGTGCCATGCTAAGCTGCGCTATGCAATGTTATGCTATGCGATGCTATGCTATGCTATGCTATGCCATGCTGCGCTATACTATGCTATGTTATGCGATGTTATGCTATGCTATGCTATGCTATGCTATGCTATGCTATGCTATGATGTGCTTGGTTATGTTATGCTATGCTATGCTATACTAATGCAGCGCTGCGCTATGCTAAGCTAAGCTAAGCTAACCCTCTAGGCATAACCTAGGTAGGGAATTACACCCATGCTAAGCTAAGATGAAATAAGCTAAGCTACGATGAGATAAGCAACGCTAAGCTGAGGGGACGTAACTGGGGAAACCGCGGGGCGGATACTGGGGGAACCGCCTGGGGCGCTTTCCACTGCCCGGCCCCTTTAAGCCCAGAGAGTGAGAACCCTTCTGGGCTCGGGAAAAACGGCTCAAGAGGCCCCCAAGGGGGTCCCAAGTTTGGCCAGGAGGGCTACAGAACGGCTCAGGAGGCGTCCAAGACGGCCCAAGAAGAGAGCCCCAAGACGGCCCCAAGAGGGGCCCAAGAGAGGGGAACACCAACCCACAATTCGAGCGTTTCGCCCCAAGACGCCGCCCTGGAGGTTCCACGAGGCCCGCACGAGGCCCCCAAGAGGCCCCACGAAGCCCCCAAGACGCCCACAGGACGCCCCAAGAGGCTCCCAAACGGCCATCGAGAGGCTTCAAATTTGCCTCCCAGAAGCTCCCGACGAGCGCTCCAAGACGCTCCAAAATTGCCCCTAAGAGGACTCCAAGACCGCACCAAGACGGCCCACGAGGCCCCCCAAGCGGACTCTCAAGAGGGCCCCACGATGCAAACATGCATGGTGTTTTTGATATATTTCACGTCGTCGCCTTTTCGAGCTTCCCACGCTCTAAGACAGCTCCAGAGGCGCCCAAGACCGCTCCAAGACGGCCCAAGAGGCCTTCAAAAGGCTTCCAAACCTGCCGAGACGGCCCCCAAACGGCCCAAGAGGCATCCAAGACGGCCCAGGAGAGCCCCAAGACGGCCCCATGACGGGCCCAAGAGAGGGGAACACGAACCTACAAATCGAGCGTTCCGCTCGAAGTCGCCGCCCAGATGGTCCCATGACCCCCCCAAGAGGCCCCACGAGGCCCCCTCGGGGCTCCCAAGAGTCCCCACGAGGAGGAGGGAGGGAGGGAGAGAGGGAGGGAGGAGCAGGAGCAGGAGCAGGAGCATGAGCAGGAGCAGAAGGAGGAGGAGGAGGCGGAGGAGGAGGAGGAAGAGGAAGGAGGAGGAGGAGGAGAGGAGGAGGAGGAGGAGGAGGAGGAGGAGGAGGAGGAGAGGAGGAGGAGGAGGAGGAGGAGGAGGAGGAGCTGGAAGGTTCCACCCTGGCCTCCGCTCCCGACTCCAATACAGCACAGCAAGCGCCCAAGACGGTTCGAAAAGGTCCCAAGACGTCCCTGGGAAGGGGTCTCGGTATCGGTATCGGTCAACAAGGCTCAGCGTCAGCCTCCTATGAGCAATGAAAAATGAAGCCAGCAATTGTGCACGGCGCGGTCTGGCAGGGCCCTTCCAGAACGCGCTGGAGGAGAAGGAACTTCAGGAAGAGGAAGAGGGAGAGGAAGAGAAGGAGTTGGAGGAGGAGGAGGAGGAGGAGGAAGAGGAGGAGGATCTGGAGGTCTCCTATCCCCCCTCGTCGTATGTGTCGTCGCACTCGTTGTATTCGCTGTCTGGTTCGGCCTGGTTCAGGGTTCATTTCGAAGCGGGTCCGATTTGGCTCGGCTCGAGTGTCGAAAATGACCAGTTCGGTTCGGTTCGGTCCGCGTTGAACAAATGACGGGTTCGCACCGATTCGGTTCGGCCTGGCTCGGTTCGGGCAGTTCGGCTCGCTTCTGGAATCATCCTGTTGACATAATTGTCGTCGTCGCCGTCGTCGTTGTCGTTCGTTGTGGTCCTCGTCATCGTCGTCGAGGCTGTCGTCGTCGTCGTCGTCGAGGCTGTCGTCGTCGTCGTCGTCATCGTCGTCGTCATCGTCGTCAAATATCGAGTTTGCAATCGGGAGCGTCTGCGCTAGAACATAAGCGCGCACGAAGCGCGCTCGTGGTTCTAGTGATGGATATGACGGTTCTGATGATGAGATGATGAGATGATGATGAGATGATGATGCTGATGATGATGTTGATACTGCTGATGATGATGACGATGATGCTGATAATTCGGATGAGGATTAGGATGATGATGATTATGATGATGATGCTGATGATGATGCTGCTGCTGATGATGATGATGACGATGTTGATGATGATGAGGATGATGATGGTGGTGGTGGTGGTGGCGGAGGTGGTGGTGGTGGTGGTGGTGGTGGTTGTGATGTCCATGATGGCGAGGAGGGGGAGCATGATATCAGGCGGAGGAGGACGAGGACGTATGAGGAGAACGACTGGTCTGCGGAGAGGGAGGAGAAGGGGGAGAAGGTGGAGGAGCAGGAGGAGGAGGAGGTGGAGGAGGAGGAGAATGATTAGGAAGGAGGATGAGGGAGGAGGGAAGCTTGGAGCAGGAGGAGCAGCAGGACAGGAGGGATGGGGGAGAGGATACGCCCAGGAGGATGCGCCGGCGGGGGGCGGCGAGGGCGGCGCGGGCTGGGCCGCCGATGGCCAGGCGCGCGTGGAGGACCCGGCTGGCCGAAACTTCTCTCTCTCGTCTTCGCCGTCGTCGTCGTCGTCGTCGTCGTCGTCGTCGTCGTCGTCGTCGTCGTCGTCGTCTGTAAAGTGTCTTGCTGTCGCCACAGTCTCATTTGGTTTCTCTCGGGTGCAGAGGTGCTGCCTCACCGAACCAATCCAGCCTGGTCGCTATTCGGCTCGCTCAGCGGAGCCCCGTCGTCGTCGTCGTCGTCGTCGTCGTCGTCGTCGTCGTCGTCGTCGTCGTCGTCGTCGTCGTCATCGTCGTCGTCGTCGTCGTCATCGTCGTCGTTCTTGCCGTCGCCGTCATCCTTCTCGGGAAGCAAGGGGATGATGACGAGTGTGATCGTAACGATAGTCGTGATGACGGTGATGAAGGCGACGATGATGGTGATGATGATGGTGATGATGATGTTGTTGATGATGATGCCGAGGATGATGATGCTGCTGCTGATGATGATGCTGCTGCTGCTGCTGCTGCTGATGATGATGATGATGATGATGATGATGATGATGATGATGATGATGATGATGATGATGAGTCGAATCAGGAATTTTCGTATGACTTGCAACACAATGTGGATAATGGTGTCGGTTATGCCAACAATGGTGATGATTATGTGGTTGGTGGTAGCCGCGATCATGATTACGCTGTTGGTGACGAGGGATGGTGATGGCGGTGATGCTGACGACGATGATCATGATGATGGTGATGATGGCGGCGATGACGACGATGGGGAGAGGGGGGGTCAGGAGGTTGAGGCGAGGGGGGATGAGGAGCAGGAGGAGGATGAAGCAGGATAATGGGGCCGCACGTCCCCCCTTCTCCCTCCTTCTGCCCCCCCCCCCCCCCGGAGCGCGCCCAGAACCTCCCTCCTCCTGCTCCTGCTGCTTTTGCATCCCTGCCTCCTTGCTGCTGCTCCCGCCTTCTTCTCCCTCCTCCTCGTCCCTCTCCCTCCCCTGTCTTCCGACCCTTTCCCGCTCCTCCTCCTGATCGACCCCAGTAGAGACTTCCAGAGTCATCCAGAACAGGTACATTTCCTCCCCCGTCCTCCTCCACCCATCTTCCTTCTGAGCACCTCCTCCCCGTCGCACGGTGTCAGAAGGGCGGTCAGGGTGTTTCGTCTGAGATGTATTCATCATCGGTAACCGTGCATCTTGAATCCCACAAGCGTTTCACTCCGTACCCGTTTTGGGCTCAAGCCTCAGCTGTCGCGACCTCGCCGATACTCCGAGCTTCGCAGGCAACAGCCCTCCTTCCGTCTCAGCTATGAGCGAGTCGCTGATCTTCCGCGGGGAGCTGAAAGCCCACCGCGGCTGGGTCACCTCCATCGCCACCACCTACGAGCAGAGCAGCCTCGTGGTCTCGGGGTCCCGCGACAAGAAGGTGATGATCTGGGAGCTCACCCCAGAGGGAGAGGCCGTGGGCTATGCTCGCCGGGCCCTCTCCGGGCACTCCGAGCCCGTTTCCAGCGTGGTCCTCTCCTCCGACGGCCAGTTCGCCCTCTCGGGCTCCTGGGACCGCACCATGCGGCTCTGGGATCTGAACACCGGCGCCACTGCGCGCACCTTCCAGGGCCACGCCAAGGACGTGAACAGCGTGGCCTTCTCAGGGGACAACCGCCAGATCGTGTCAGGCAGCCGCGACCGCACGATCAAGCTCTGGAACACCCTGGCGGAGTGCAAGTACACCATCACCGAGGACATCCACACGGACTGGGTCAGCTGCGTGGTGTTCTCCCCGTCGGCCAAGATGCCACTCATCGTGTCCGCGGGCTGGGACAAGCTCGTGAAGGTCTGGAACCTGAGCAACTGCAAGCTGCGCACCAACCTCGTCGGCCACACTGGCGTCGTCTACGTGGCCACCGTCTCGCCGGACGGGTCCCTGTGCGCTTCCGGTGGCAAGGACGGCACGGCCATGCTGTGGGACGTGAACGATGGAAAGCACTTGTACTCTCTGGACGCGGGCGGCACCATCAACGCGCTCACCTTCAGCCCCAAGAACTACTGGCTGGTCGCCGCCACGGACACTGCGATCAAGGTGTGGGACCTGGAGAACAAGAACGTGCTGGACGAGCTGAACCCCACGGCGCCGCCCAAGAACGGCATCCCCTGGTGCGTGTCGCTGTCGTGGAGCGCCGACGGCAACACGCTCTTTGCCGGTTCCACCAACGGCAGCATCTACGTGTACGAGGTCGGCGAGGAGTGAGGCCTTTGCCCAGGCAACTCCAGGCCGCGGCGGCGGCAAGGTCGCGGCCCACTCCCAAGCCGACTGCCGGCCCTGGTGCCGGAGGAAGGCCCGCTGGCGCGGGGGTGCGCCGGAGAGCGAGACGACGACGAGGGTGAAGAGGAGGAGGGCGGCGGGGGTCGGCACGAATGAGTTTGGGGATAGACGGGCGACGATGGCGGGTTTGAGGCGCGCCGGGATGATCTTTGCGGCATCCTGCGTACCACGCGGCAGGCAGTGCGCAAAAAAAGAGCAACGGCCTCCCAACCAACCTCATTTGGCATGGAGGGAAAGTGGTTTCCAGTAGCGGGTTCTCGCATATTTTTTGGTTCTCGCGCTCCATGAAATTTTAGTCTGAACTCTCCAACAGTGGCATTTTTTTTTTTTTTTTTTTTGTTTTTTGCGAAAGCGAGCTTTCGCTGGAGATGCTATGACATGAGATCGTCATGACGCTGCGTATTTTTCGTCGTCGTCGTTGCCCTACGCCTACGCCTTCTACCTTCTACTCCTTTCAGGGGGAAGGGAAGGAAGAGGATAAGGAGGGGGAGATAATAATAGTTGCTGTTGATATGTAGGCCGATTTTGGCATTCATCCTGTTTTTGTTACTGATGACGATGACGTTGCTGCTGGTGATGATGTCGACGACGCTTAAGTTAATTGTGACATTGTGGTGACATAGATGAACACGAAGACAAGGATAAGGAGGATGAGAAGAAGGAGGAGGAGGAGGAGGAGGAGAAGGAATGGGGTGAGGGGAGACGGGGTCGCACCTCCCTCCTGCCTCCTCCTACTTTGTCCTCCTCGACCTCCTCCCTCGTCCGACGAATCGTCCAGAAGTTTTACCGCAAACGTTGAACCTGACTGTAGACCGGGGGCGGATCTCCGATGCTGCCTCAACGATGTGCGCTCTTGCCCCGCCCCCTCTCGCGATCGCGCCGCTCCGAGGTCGGCGGGTCCTTGGGTGCTAAAGTTTTGAGCGGGTCCCACAACTCACAGTTTTTTTGTAAGTTTACACTCGTGTTCTGCTCCAGGTGCGATTGTACAGCCACGACTGACCCCATATACATCGTTCCTGTCTGCTTCCCGCTCGCGGACAGGGGTGATCAGAGCCTCACTCGGATCGCCTGTGGAGAGTATCCCCATCCCAGCGGTCCGCCGAAGTCTGTCCGAGCTGCAGGCATCACCGATCTGCAGCAGTAATTCGTTCGGCCTCGACTTCCGTTGTCGCTCTTCCAGTCGTCCAATTGCTCTCCCTCTTACTCGTTAAGGCGAGGACGACGGGAAGGGGGATGAGAGAGCAGGGAGGGAAGGAGATGGAGGGATTGATCATGAGGGAGGGGGGAGGGATACGGCAGTGAGGGAGGGAGGGAGGGAGCGAGGAGGAGGAGGCGGAGGAGGGGAAGGATGAAGAAGAGGGGAGTATGGAGGGAGGACGTCAATGATCAAGATGCTGCTGCTGCCGCACCGCCGCTGCCGATGAGGAGGAGATGGAGGAGGACAAGGAGGAGGAGGACGGTGATGGTGATGGTGATGACGATGACGATGCACGATGAACGATGAACGATGACGATGGCGATGAAGATGGCGATGACGATGACGATGACGATGACGATGATGATGACGATGCTGATACGGATGATGGCGATTATGCTGATGATGTTGATGCTGCTGCTGCTGCTGCTGATGATGCTTATGATGATGATGATGATGATGATGATGATGCTGATGATGATGATGATGATGATGATGATGATGATGAATGTGGTGGTGGTAATGGTGGTGATGGTGGTGATGGTGATGGTGATGGTGATGGTGATGGTGATGGTGATGGTGCTGATGACGATGACGATGACGATGATGCTGATGCTGCTGCTGATGATGGTGATGATGACGCTGATGCTGATGGTGATGATGACGATGACGATGATGATGACGAAGACGATGATGATGCAGTTGCTGCTGCTGATGATGATTCTGAACGTGGTGGTGATGCTGGTGATGATGCTGGCGACACTGATGGTGCTGTTGCTGCTGACGAGGACGACGATGACGATGCTGTTGATGTGCTGCTGCTGATGATGATGCTGATGATGATGATAATGATGATGCCGATGGTGGTGATTGTGACGCAGATGCTGATGATCACGATGCTGATGCTGATGTTGACGATGATGATCAGGTTGATGCGGCTGCTGATGATGAAGTTGCTGATGCTGATGCTGATGATGCTGATGCTGCTGATGATGATGCTGCTGAGGATGATGCCGATGATGATGATGATGATGATGCTGATGATGATGATTATGATGATGATGATGTTGATGATGATGATTATGATGCTGATGATGCTGATGCTGATGATGATGATGATGATGACGATGCTGATGATGATGATGATGATGGTGGTGAGGATGATGATGATGACGCTGATGCTGATGATCACGATGCTGATGCTGCGGCTGACGATGACGATCAGGTTGATGCGGCTGCTGATGATGACGGCGCTGATGCTGACGCTGATGCTGACGATGCTGACGCGGGTGCTGATGAGGATGATGGTGATGATGATGCTGCTGATGATGATGATGATGATGATGATGATGATGATGATGGTGGTGGTGGTGGTGGTGATGAGGTTGATGATACTGATGCCGACGACGAGGATGATGATGCTAATAATGACAATGACGATGCTGGTAATACAGATGCTGGTGCTGCCGATGATGGCGATGATGCTGACACTGATGCTGATGCTGATGATGCT